ACTCTTTCTGAAAAAGAAAAGAAAGAAATTCTTGATAAGGCACATAGTGCCCTAATTCTCTGTTTGGGGGATAAAGTCCTGAGGGAGGTCTCGAAGGAGATAAGTGCATCGGCTATTTGATTGAAACTGGAGAATTTGTACATGACAAAATCTCTGACAAACAGATTGTACCTGAAACAGAAAGTGTACACATTCAAGATGCCACCGGGAAAATCACTCGAAGATCACATGGATGATTTTAATAAAGTGATTCTTGATCTCGAAAACATTGACATCAAGATCGAAGATGAGGACCAAGCGTTGCTTCTACTCAAATCCTTGCCAACCGAATTCGATACTCTAATCTACAGCGGGGATTTACTCACCCTTGAGGAAGTTCAATCAACATTATTTTCGAAGGAGTTGAAGAAGAAATCCGAAGGAAAGGAGGAAGGAGCAACAGAGGGCTTGAACGTCCGAGAGAGACCTGAAAGGAGAGATTTCAAGAGCAAGAAAGGGCACAGATCGAAGTCAAAGACTAGGCGAAAGTGCTTCATATGTCATAAGGAAGGCCATCTGAAGAGAGACTGGCCATAAAGGATGAAACCAAATCAAGAAAGACCCAAAGAAAATGGTGATGCTGATATTGCCTCAGATGGGTATGAAAGTTCTGAACTACTGTGTATAACCAATATGAAAACCCACAACGAATGGGTTCTTGACTCTAAGTGTTCATTCCATATGTGCCCAATCAAGGATTGGTTTCTTTCCTACAAACATGTTAATGGTGGACAGGTTGGTTGGTGATAACAAGGCTTGTAAAGTAGTGGGAATTAGCTCGATTAGATTGAAGTTGGTAGATGGAACAGAGAGTATCCTACAAGACGTCAGGCATGTTCCAGAACTCGAGAAATTTGATTTCTCTTAGGATGCTTGACGGTCAAAGTCACTGGTATAAGGCTGACGCAGGAGTTCTAAAGGTCATGAATGGTTCTATGGTGGTGATGAAAGGAACACTTGAGAATGGCTCGTATTTGCTTCAGGGGAAGGCAGTGATAGGATCAGTTGTAGCAGTGTGCAGGAGTGAAGTTTCAAAGAGCCAAATTTGGCACATGAGAATGGCACATATCAGTGAGAATGGCTAAAAGGAATTGAGCAAACAAGGCCTTCTGGGAAAGGTCAAACTCACTGAGTTGGACTTTTGTGAACATTGCATCTTTAGGAAGGCCAAAAGGTTGAAGTTTTCTCCTACAGTGCATCATACCAAAGGAATTCTGGATTACGTTCATTCAAATCTTTGGGGAGCTTCAAGGGTGCCAACTCACACTGGTTCAAGGTATTTTCTTTCCTTAATAGCTGATTATTCAAGGAAAGTTTGGACCTGCATTATTGAGAATAAAAATGATGTTCTTGAAAGATTTAAAGAATGGAGCATTCTAATGGAAACACAGACAAATAGGAAGGTTAAGAAACTAAGAACAGATTATGGACTAGATTTTTGTGGAGAATTGTTTGATAAGTACTATAAAGATGTGGGAATTGCTAGACACCATACTGTAAGGAAGACACCTCAACGTATGGGTTAGCAGAAAGGATGAATCTGACTATGATGGAGAGGGTTAGGTGCATGTTGTCAAGTGCAAATCTCTCCAAGAATTTCTGGGTAGAAGCAGCAGTTACAGCTGTGTATTTGATCAATAGAAGTCCTTATAGAGTAATTGATCTTAAAACACTAGAGGAAAAGTGGTCAGGACATCCTCCAAACTTGGAAAATCTGAGAGTTTTTGGCTGTGTAGCATATGCTCACATTAACCAGGGAAAGCTGGAACCCAGTACATTGAAATGTACGTTCCTGGGATATCCAGTGGGTGTAAAAGGATACAGATTATGGTGCATGGAAAAGGGGCATCCTAGAGTCTTTAGTAGCAGAGATGTGGTTTTTAGAGAGACAGAGATGTACTACACAGGATCAAAACACTAGTGTGATGGGTCAGCTCGAACTAGGTGAAAGAGTTCAATTGGAGGTGGAGCCAACCAAGACTGACAGAGAACCAGAGATTGAGTCTGAAGAACAGGAGGTGGAGCACCATGAGACGTCATAGGATTATCTGTTAGCAAGGGACAGGCAGAGAAAATATGTCAACCCACCAGAAAGATTTGGATATGCAGAGATGATTTCTTTTGCTCTTACTGCAGCAGTGGACATAGAAGATGTTGAACCCAGGACCTATAAGGAGGCCGTGACAAGTAAGGAAGCAAGCAGTTGGATTGAGGCCATGGAAGAGGAGTTGAAGTCTTTGTATAAGAACAAAACTTGGGAGCTGGTGGAGAAATCCAAAAGGCAGAAATTGGTGGGTTGTAAATGGGTTTATAAGTTGAAGGAGGGAATCCCAGGAGTTGACAAGCCGAGGTATAAGGCGAGGCTCATAGCTAAAGGGTTCACACAGAGGGAAGGAATAGATTATCATGAGGTCTATTCTCCTATAGTGAAGCATAGCTCGATAAGGATGTTGTTGTCTCTAGTTTCTCATGAAGACCTAGAACTTGAGCAAGTAGATGTTAAAAGCTTTCCTTCATGGAGAATTGGATGAAAACATTTACATGACACAACCAGAAGGGTTTGTGATTAAAGGAAAAGAAGAAATGGTTTGCTTGTTAAAGAAATCTCTTTATGGTTTGAAGCAATCACCACGACAGTGGTATAAAAGATTTGACTCATTCATGCTCAAAATTGGTTTTCAGAAATGTGCACATGACAATTGTGTCTACAACAAAGTGATTTAAGAGGGTAGAGTCATTTACTTGTTATTCTACGTGGATGATATGTTAGTAGCTTGTAAGTGTTAGACCCCCAGTCCTCAGGTTTGTGTATGCCAGAAGGAGTAAGAATGTACAGGGGCAGGAGGGGAATTTAATTAACACTGAGTCAGGGCAAGGGTAAGGGGCGTGTTGTTAGGATACAGTTATGGGTTATGGGGCTGTGTGCCAGGGTAGGATATGGGGAAGAAGTCAGTTAGAGGAGATGGGAATAAATAGTCCTCGGGTACAGAGGAAAAGGTATTGAGAATTAAGTAGAAGATTGAGTCTGTGGAGGTTTGGAGGGGTCCTCGAACTCTCCCCCATCTTTTATTTCCAGCGTTGCATTTGGTTTCCCTGTTCTTGTTTTCCACTGTGATTCAATAAAAGGATCCAGGCCATTTTCCTAGTTAATTTTCAGAACTCTTGCTATACTTCTTAGTTTAATTGCTCTAGGGTGACTAGAATGAAGGGAGTCCTAACAAATTTGGTATCAGAGCATCGATCAAACCAAACAGATCGATTCACGTTGATGGAGAGGAGGTTGAACGGGTTCCAGGACTCCTTGCAGTCCTTCGGGGACATGGTGAGCCCCGTTCCTCGCCTCCAAGGAGACGTGGTTTCCATGGGAGCACGGCTCGGAGAGGTCCAAGGTGAGATGGTCTTGATGGGAACTAAGATCGACGGGATCCAGGGCTCAATTGCAATACTGGAAGAATTCATGGTGAGGCAAGCGCGCATCGACCAGTCACCGCCCAGACGGCAACGTGGTGAGTTCATTTCTCCAGGGCGAGGAAGAGATGACTAGACTCCTCCACGGAGGGAGACCGTGCGGCCTGCACGGGGCGAGTTCAGCCCGCCAAGGAAGGAACAGGCGAGAGGAAGGATGGGACATCCCCGCTACAAGTCGCCGGAGAGAGTGCGGAACCGGGGAGATCACCGGGGAAAGAGGTTGGAACTTCCGTTGTTCCACGGGGAGGATCCTCATGGGTGGATTTTCAGGGCCGAATGTTACTTCACCATCAACGAAGTGGATGATGACGAGAAGATTCTGGCTGCTTCCGTATGCATGGAAGGAAGAGCCCTCAGCTGGTATCAATGGTTGGATTCCCAGGAGCCGTTCGAAGAGTGGCGGGAGCTATGGGCAGCCATCTTG